ATTCTGTGTCATTTATCTTCACTTGTGGGGAGAAACGGGATAAGTCACTCATAACCGGGCCAGTCCTGAGCCATTCTTCATCCCTACGCTCATGAAGATAAATGTCGCATTTCCACAGACCACAGCTATCCTGTGTCCTTTTAGACCAGAGATTTAGATCAGTTAGAGCAGGAGGTCAACCTGGTGCCATTATTTGAAAATCAAGAACACGAGGTGAGTACCCTCTCCTACCCCAACACATCTTGATCTCCAGTATTAAATGAGGGTGCCACCAGCAGCTAAAAAGATGTTTAAGTAGCAGGTATATGTTCATCCATGTCTATCCTTCAAACACTTCGTTTTAATTAAAAGACTATTTCCTGCGGATCACCGTGCAATGTTTTGCGAGGACTGATTTGTAGGAGATGGTCTTGGTTTTCAAACAATGATAAGGGGTACAATGAATACTGTGGAAAAAATGATGAGCAGTTGGTTAATACTCTCTGCGGGCGAGTCTGATGACAAAGGAGGAAGTCAGAATAGAAGTCTCGAGAAGTCATAGTCTTTGAGCAACTATATTAAGAGAAAACGGTATGGATACCTTAGCGTCCCGTGATGTACCAGTGACTGTTCCATTGGATTTTAAGGCTAAGGCAGAGCAAGTGGGTGACTTCTCTGCTCTGTGCTTATGGACCCTGACGTGGGTAATCCACAGACACGACCTCTTTATAACTCAGTGGCAAATGTGCTTATTCTGGCTTTATTTTTAATTACCCTTCCACAAATTGAATGTTTGATGTTAGAAGTCTTCCCATTGAAATGAAAGTATTGGCTCTTTTCCCCTTGGCTGGTACATACCCATTTATATCACGAGCAGTAAACTGAGCATTTCCAAAATCATTGCCCCTCTTTGGAAGCTATTAGTTTAAATTATGGATATCAACAGTTTTTGAATTAGGAGACGGCAGTTTTGTAAGACTTAACTCTAATCACACCGATTGATTATGTGATTCAAATTCAGGGTGTGTACTCCCACAGTTGATTCTTTCTGTATATAACCAAATAAGCTGTTTCATTCACTTATTCAAGAAATATTTATTGAATGCACACTGCATGGCAGTAACTGGGCTGGGCATGCACGTAAAATTATAGATAGTGGCTGTTCCTGTAAGCCATGTAGTCTAATGATGCAGAAAGACACATCCGTACAGTGGAGATGACTAACCCAGTAGTTGATAATTGCTCAAGAAAATGTCCTTTTCATTCTTCCAGTACGGAAGTCATAGTGAAATATGTTAAAGGAACACATAAAAAGCAATTTCCTACAAATTTAGAGAACCTTGGAAGAACTCACAGCATAAGTACCTCCTTCCCTCCCTAAACATGTTCACGTTAAAAGATCATATATTGGGCAGAGCGTTAGCCTAGGGCTCCAAACATTTAACTTCCTGTATTAACAGTTACCACACGTTAATTTTTTGCAACTGTGTAACATTTACTTCCTTCTACTTAAATTTCTCATCTGAAAAATGAAAAAAATTTAATCTCTTCTGTGTACCTCCTATTGTTGGGAAGGTCCAATAGGATAATGTATATGAGAAAAATTCTAATCTGAGATGTATAATAGAAACAAAGTTACCATTCGCATCACCATCTTTCTTGTTACCCATCTTGTTTTTATGGTGCTAGGTAAAAGATCAAGGTGGCTTGCCATCTTGATTTATATTTTCATATCCAGCCATGATCACCTATTTGCAGATGCACGCCACATTCAGCATCAGATAAGCATTGTGTTAACAGTGGGTAAATCGTTTAGCCACCCCCGCCCCCAAGTATTTAGAGCAGTGCTTAATAGACAATGAGTGGAACTCTCTCACATAATAATCATCATTCCTGTCATCTGAGAGCTTACGGTGTGCCAGGCTTGGCGCTTTATGGGCAACACCGCATTTCATGTTCAGAACGACCTTCTGAGGTTATCACTTGTATTAGTCATCACTCTCACTTTACAGATGAGGGAATTGAAGTCTAAAAAGACTGCTGAACTTGCCCAAGTCACAAAGGTACCATATCTAACGGCAGAATTCATCAGCTAAACTTCTGGGCCCTACCACATGCTCTGATCTGGAATCCGTCATCTTCTCCATCTTTGTACTCCCCTTCCTGCTTGATAATCCCCATTTTCTCCAGAAAAGCACTCAGGGAGGCATTCAACTTTTCTGGGCTTTAGTTTCCTCATCTATGAAACAGGACTACTCTGAGGCTCCATGAATAACTCACGCAAAGTCTATGTCCTCATATTGTCGGAGGAGATAGAAAATAAATACCTACACACACACAGGTACATACATACATAAATGTGTATTTTCTCTCCTTGTGAGAAGTGCTATGAAGAGAAATAAAGGAAAATAAGGGAATAGAGATAGATGGAGAAAGGGACGTTATATTTTAGGCAGCATAGCCAAGAAGGTCTCTCTGAGCAAGTGACCTGGAGGAAGAGAAGCAGCAAAGCATACAGGTGTTTGGATGAAAGGCGGTACCATGGTCATGTGCATGTATACGTATAGCTACCAGTCTGTCTTGGTGATAATCATTTCAGGCAGAAGAAACAGCAAGTGCAAGATTCCTGAGAACGTAGTGTGCTTGATATATTTGAGAAACAGTAAGGAACCAATGTTGCCAGAGTGGAGTGAGTTAAAGTGATAGTGGGAGCCAGACAGGACCAGTGAAGAAGGGATGCAGAGCAAAACTATAAATGGTCTCCTAGGCTACTGGAAGCACTTTAATGTCACCCTTAGTGACATGAGATGCCATTGAGCACTGCACAGAAGAATGCATGTGATCTGATTTTTGTTTGGATAGGATCCCTCCACTGTGCCAAGAAAAGACTGAAGAGGGGCCAAGAATTGAAGCAAAGACACAAAATGCTGGACTGGGTTATTGGAATAATCCAGTCATCCAGAGGGAGAATGGACTAGGATGTAGCAGAGGAGGTGAGAAAAAGAGTCAAGACTTATATACAGAATTTCCAATGTATAGGCAACAGGATGTAAAGGTGATAAGGTATAGAAGGAATAGGATGCAATCTTGGGGATGAGACCAAAATATAAAGTTTCAAGGGGACTTTGTCCTGAGCTACTACGAAGTTGGTCCCTTGAACTAGTTTAGCACACGGTAGGAGGTTACAAGTTTGTTTGTTTTTTTTCCCTGAATGAATGAATGAATGAATGGAGTTGCTATTAGAAAAGTCTTTGTCAGGGATGGGGCTTGAGTTGGCATTCAAGTTTTATTTTGGGCAGGTTCATTTTCGATGCCTCCAAGTGGAAGTCTTGAATGAGCCGTTGTTTGTATATGCTACAAGTCTGCCTTGCCAGCTAGAGAGAAAGGTTTGGGGGCAGTCTTCAGTTTGTAGATGGTGTCACTGTGGGATTCACCTAGAGAGTGGGTGCAGACAAAGAAGAGCTCCACCAACTGAGCCCTGTTGCACCCCAAGGTTTAGTGGCTCAAGAGATAGGGCAGGGCTGGCAATGGAGGTTGAGCAGAGTGACCAATGAAGTAGAAGAATCGAGAGAGTGGTTTTCTAGGAGCCAAGTGCAGAGTGTTTCAGGAAGGACAGAATGATCACTCTCATGTTGCTGATGGTTGCCTAACATGAGAATTGAGATTCAGCTACTGGATTTACCAATGATCATGAACTTCTCACCTCCCACCGCTTCTTTTATCTTTTCTGCGCACATGAATTGTTACCCACTGCCTTGCTCTCAGGTTATCATAACTCCCAAGCGTGTTAACTTCTAACTCACATTTCATATTTCCTACTGAAGGGCAGTTAACGGTTCTTGAAACCATGAGATCTGGGGAAAGTTCCCATAAGACTGAGTTACACGGCTTTCAAAACCAATGATGGAAAAGCCACACATCATCTCTGAAATAAATTTTAATCATATTCAGGTTCACTTCTGTAGTCATAATACTATTCACTAGTGAGGTATTGCTTTAAAGTTTGAGAAGCTCTTTTTACTTACGTTATCTGTTCCAAACAAAACTACCTAACACAGCAAAACGCCCAGCTTTGAATCTCACACCATCAGACTCTACCACCTGCTAGCACCTCCTTGTTGGAGTCAACTACAGGCCCACACTTCACTCCTCCTCATTTCTTGTAGATTTTAACACCTGCCTCTCTGTTGTTCTCTCCAAACCTACTCCCGATAGAATTCTTGGTAATTTCAAATATCCATGTCAGTCCCTTGATCTTCTTGCTAATTTATGGACTTTTTCCATCTGTATTTGCTAGGGGCTTCCTCTTTGTACAGTTTGCACTGACTGTATGTCTCAGCTTGAGTTGTAAAGACCTGTATTTGTTGGAATTAAAAATCATTTCGTTTACTTCATTATGCTTTGCAAAATGCCAGCTCTATCTCTTTGTACATCTTTGCTCCAATTACTGTGTGGCCCTCGATCTCTGTTTCTAATTTTTAGTCTGCTGTTGCCACAGGACTGTTGGAAGGGAAGTAGGGGTAGGATGAGGTATGGGGAGAAGAAAGAGGTGGAAAAAAATCCAAGTTGGAGTTTGCCGCAGAAGCCTATGTCAAACTCTTAACATCCCATTTGATTTTAATACTTCAGCGTGTCTGTTTAACTATTTCCCATCCGTCTTCATAATACATGATCTCATTTCATCTTAAGAGGTGGTTCTGAACAGGGTAGTGAATCAGACAGAAAATGTGACTTGCTTAAGCGCATGCATCTAATAAGTCAGAACCAAGCGTAGGTTACAGATCTTCTGACTCTAAATGCATTTTTTTTTATTGGCCTTAAACAATGCATTGTTCAGGATGGTCAGTGGTTAAAATAGCTGTGTTGGCTTCCTGCCCGGGAGAGTGTTAAAATACAGAAGCAATTTTAATAAATATTGTCACCAGTGTTGTCTGTGGTGATGGTGGTGGCAGCAGATCGAGAAATTTGCTGAAGTGTTCTAGTGGATGCTTTTCTTTTTCCTTTTTTTTTTTTTTTTTTAGATTGGCAAACACATTGCCTGTTTACAGCTTAGAGACCACAATGGACAACTAGGTGGGTGATGACTCATGCTAAATCTTTGCCACAATATGCTGAACACTACAGCCACAGCTAATGTGAAGTGGCTCGTTATACCCCGTCAAGTCCAATAACAGCCAAGACTGGCTTTGCTACAGCATGGAGAGCAGCTTGGAGGAAGCCTGGCTCCTGCAGAGCACCCCTGAATTTCAAAAACTAGGCTGCAGTTGAATAGAAAAGACAGAGTCGCTGAGTCATCTTTGCAAATTTCTTGTATGTTTCTCTTGGTCAGTTTAGAAGCAGCCTTCGTGGTCCCAGCTTGACACCAGAGGTGACTCTCCTTGGGCTTCCCTCGTCTTGTGAGTGGCCTCCTCCTTCAGGTGTATTTTAGGGGCTAATGTAGCCCCCAGGCAGAGTGGGAAATGCGGTACCCTGGTAGAAATATTTCTGAAGATTTCTCCTCTCCCCTCGCTCCACCAGCCAGTCATGGCACTCACACAAACACGTTCACCATCCACTGAAGCACAACCACCATGGGACCGTGGGTGGTATTTCCACCCACGGCGGGAGCAGATCGGAGGCAGCAGGCGAGGGCACTGCCTCCTTACTCTGTGACTTCAGGTCACGTGTCTTTTCGTCTCCGTTAAATTATAATCTCCCAGAAGGCAGGATCCTGGGTTTATTGATCTCTTTAGTCAACTGCCTGTGAGCTATAGTTGTCTCTCTTATCATCATCAACAAAATTAATGTATCCCCTTCTGAAAAGTCCATAATTAAGCCAGAGACTGGGGTTTAATCTTCGCGCCTCCCCTGACCCTCCCCCAGTGCCTGACACACAGTAGGTGGACACTGTGTTTGTTCAGTGAAGGAGCAAAGACACAAAATGCGGCCATCCATCAGATGTTTCCCTGCCGCCAAATGAGAGACTCCGCAAACCTTTTCCAACCGTCAGAGACAGAAGGGTCATGGCTTCCAATCATTCTTCCCCTGGCCACCAGGAATAATGCCCTAAAAGCGGTTGTTTATTTTGAAAGGAAAAAAAAATCTGAAGCTATTATATTTATTTTTATATTCAAATGCCTATGAAACAGAAAAACACCAGAGACCGATTCGTTGCTCACGGATGATCTATGGGGTAATAATGTGCTGGGTCTTCCAGCCGTGCTGCACTTTGGTGCTATCCTGGTTTAAATGAAAATGTATACTGTGACCTTGGTTTTGTTCACTGGGTGTTGGGGAGGGGATAATTGGCATGAGGCCTCTGAAGAACTCCCTCTTAACGAACGTCATTTGGCTAATTTGGGGTTCACCTGCAGGAAATAATGCGGGAAGCCCCGTAAAAATGAGATGCATTCTGTTTGCATGCAACTCATATGCAGCTAATGATTTTTTTTTTAATTAACTTTTTATTTGGCGTTCCCTATCTGTTGAATTCTAAGTGCTGTGAGGATGATAATAGTATTGTCCCTTACAGTCTCATGTTTCATCATAATTAAATAAACCGCTTATGAATTGCAGTCCAAAAAATGTCTGTGTTCCCCTCTTAAACTTAAGGGGTTTCCATAGAAACCATGGGTAGTGAGTTTGACTTTTATTGGACTTGAGGCTATATGTAGCATGGATAGCGAGCTCTCTGTTTTTCTCTCTGCCACTCTGTGTACATGTCCCTTTCTCTTCCTCTAGCCTTCACGGCCATCTTTCCCCCTCAGTCCTCTCCTCCTCCTCCTTTTCCTCCGCCCACCCCCTTCTCTTATTAGCAATGAGGAAGTAATTTGGACTCAGTTAGCTTTAACAAATGCAATAATACTAAAATGAGCTCTGATACTTAAGTGTAATTGTGTTATTAGCTGGAAATGTTTTTCTTCAAAAACAAAAGAATTGAGAGTGAAGTTTAGTAACATGGCACAGGCTGATAGGAAGCAACCCTTGAAGATTTGCAGTGCACATCTCAAGGTCCACACTCATCCTCCCAGCTTTGACTTCTCCTTGATTTTGTTGCCCCAGATTGATGTTTCTCCTCCATCCTAGTTTTCAGCCTTCTAAATGGAACATATAGTCATTGTGCTGATCGTGCAACGAGAGAAAAGAGGCATTTATTTAGAAAGGAGAAAACATACTATATAGTGTGTACCTACAACGGTCCAGCTAATTTACTAGGTACTTCCATTTAAGTTGTCTTAGTTAATGCCACAAAGGTGACTGCCAGGCAGGGTGCTGGAAGGCACACGGACCTGGAGCTGAACTTCCGGCTCCATCCAGGCTGGCTGTACGCCTTGGGTATTGTGCTTAAATGCTCTGTCTTGGTTTCTCAAAGACAAAATGAAAATGAGCGCTTCTAAGAAGTGGGGTTTTATTAGGATTGGCTATGAAAACGCTGCCAGGACACCGCAGTGGCGCTGCTTTTCTCCATCCCTTGATAAATGAGGAAGATGAGTTGCCAAAAGAGTGAGTCACGTATCCAGAGCTGCACGGCTAGTAGAAAGGGTGTTCATACAGTGCAGTGATTAGACAGGGTGGATTTAGACGGACCTGAGGTCAGTTACTAAATGTGCGATTTGGGGTAAGTGACAAACTGATGGAGCACCAACTTCGTACAGTTGTTACAAGGATTAAATAAAATTGTGTGTGGAAGATACAAGAGCATCTGCCACATAGAAAGCTGTGAGCTGTGGTTTTTTTTGCCCTGTCAGTCTTCCTCCCCCCGCCCCCTCCCACTTTTCTGATTTGTTTTGTTTTTAGTATGGATTCAAAGTAAAGAATGATTAATCTTCCAAGTCTATCTAATATTTCTAGTTTTAAATTATCTCACAACTCATAAAATATCTCCAGTTATACTGATAACAATGAGAAAGGAAAGACAGGTGTGGAGTAAGGAGATTCAGAACTGTAATTGACAAGATCTCCATATAGCGAACGAGGAAGTGGAGTTTTTACCTAGTTCTCTAGGGTTCTTTTTATAATTAAAGCCCTCAGAATCTGTTATTCTTAATAATCCTAGGTTCATGACTTTTAAAGCTTAAACCCAGCAGATTCTAGCTCACCTTTCTGATACATGGTGAGAGGAAAAACATTTTAGCAGGGAAGAAGGCAAGGAAGTAAGGAGAGTGTAGCTGCAAACCGTTTTCAGGTCCTTGTCCCAGGATCTGAAGGGACATGCAGACATACAGTCCTCAATCCCAGGCACAAATGAGGCATTGATTTTGCACAGCAATATGCCTTGGTGGTGTTGGTTACAAAAAAGGGATGGAGTGAGGAAAAAAATGCAAAAGAAGCCAGATGTCAGTCAAAGATGTTGGTACCTAGTGAATTAAGAAAAGAGTAGACAGCTAGGAAGAGAGTGTGATGGGACACAATTGCTGGAGAGAGTGATCGTTACTCCCCCGTCCCACGCACGTGTCCACCTGCACACACGTGTATTCACGACTAAACAGAACGAACATTAATATATAATCATTATATGGCTTCAAAAGGCTCATGCTAGGAGGTAAAAAGTTAGCTCTACCTTTTTTTTTGTTGTTGTGTGCTTATGCTTGCCTTCTTACTAGAATATTCATTCTGCATTGTCTTTAAAAGAATCCCCTTAAGCCCTTTTCTCCATTTGCTGAGTGTTAAGTTTAGTTAAAGCTAAATAAAGTAATCCCAAAGCCACTTAGCTAGACACTTCAGAAACAGGAGGACTTCACGATGTGCTCAAAGCTCAGGGACAGGTAACAGCCCCACCGGAAACCCCTCAGTGTTGTGGAATTCCCTCTGCTTCGGGACTCCTCAAGTGTGTTACGTGACACGCGGCACTGTTGCCAAATTAATCTCTTTCTTATTTCTTAGATGAAAGTGAGTTACAGCTAGAAATTTTAATATTTTTTTTCTTTCATGTCCTGATAGATCATCCTGGTAACTTTAGGGTTAAGGAGAGTGTGTAAGAAAATGTATTTCTCTACAGGCTCAAGAGCAGGGTCAACAAACTCTTCCTATAGGGGGCCAAAGAGTAGGTATTGTGGCTTTGCAAGCCACGGAGTCTGTCACCATTGCACAGCTGTGCCCTTTCATGTGCACAGCCATAGGAAATACACACGCCCATGGCTCCAGCAGCGTTCCGATAAAACTTTATTGACAGAAACAAATGGTGAACCAAACTTTGCCTGGGGGCAGTTGCTTGCTACTGATCTTAGAGCTTTGCCTACCTGTCCATCCACCTTCTGTTTCTGCTCACGTGGCAACTACAGCTTAAACGGTGGGACTGGGAAGTGTGGGAGTGACAACCATATCACCATTTCTCTCACTTTGTGCATTTTACTTTTTGTCTTAGTTATTTTTGATTAAACTTAATCTTCCCAGTATTCCTTTGGCACAGGAGGAGCACGTAGTCTGTCTTCACTTTCCAGAAGGGTACAGAAAGTTTCAGTGGTTTGCGTCGGTGTCACCCAGCATCTATAATATTCTTATTGGAATATGACTGTGAGCCTTGTGGTTTCTTTAATTGGATCATCCTTTCTAAAATGCATTCTTTAGGGAATAAAGAAAGATGGTGGAAGAAGTAAACAAGAAGTAGTTTTCATTACCCAAACGAAGAAAAAATAGGTGTTAATGCGTGGCTTAACCAGGGACATACCCAGGCTTCCCTACTTTGTTATCCCATTAAGATTCCATAGTGGATCTAGTTCTTTTTTGCTTTTCGTGTCTACTGCTTTTTTTCATGGCATATTTTTGGAAATGATGCATTGTAGGCAAATGAATACAGGAGAATACAGGGAGTGCTTGTTTTGCACAGCACTGTGTTAACTGAAGCGGGTTCATTTTGGAACCGAGTCCTCATTTTGCAAGGTTCCATGGTAACTGAGAGAAAATCTGTTAGAAAAGAACTGTACAAAAAAGAGGACTTGGTTTCGATATGCATAGCCTATGGTTAACAAGGCACCGAGCAAAACGAGGACTGCCTTGAGTAAATAAATGAGAATCCAGCTTCCAAGTGGCTGCATTTGCCGTGTAATTCCCTCTTTTGTGGTCATTAGGGGGAAACAAAGAAATCACTGATTACA